AGAGCAGTTAGAGGAACGTTCGTCACTACTGCCATCGAAGCGAGCGTGAGGGGGATATTGAAAAGGACGAGTGCATGTTGTGGGCAATAAATACATATGGCAAGTTCCAGCTCCAGTGTTCGCAGTCGGGCTTTACGGTCTCTGGGCCTGGCAGCAATTGAAATCGCACACAAACCTAGCTACTTGTGGACCGCTTCCAAGCAAGCCGCTGCCGAAAACGTAAATGGTCAGGGTAGTCAGAGCGATATTATTGCACGATTAAAAAATCCCGAGGGGTCAAGAAACCTCAACTTTGTCTCCCATAGGCAGACCAAAGTCTGGAATGAGGGTGGTCGTTACCCTCAACTGCAAAACGGGTGGTGGCCGAATGGGCCTATTCTGTTTTCCGTTCAGGATTGTGGGTGCTTGAGCCTCATTTTGAGATACAGTATTGTCTGCGAGGTGTGGGCGTTTGTGATAGGCCAGTTTTAGGCCGTTATTGACGAAGCGCCGATGGCAGATCGCGCCTCAACCTACCTCAGCTTACAAATTTCTAGGATGAAGCTCTTATACCTTAGCCGAGTTGGACCATGACACGGGTCATTTTGACTGGTACGCGCTGGGATCTGGAATTCTTCCTCCATTTCGCTTTCACACTTACAATTTGTATCAGTGCTCGGGGCTACCGACTTGACCACACAGATTCAACATCCACACCGAGCCAAGTTCTATGCACTTGTGGAGGCGGAAAATCGGCGCGAACGAACAAGGACCCGCGCAGCCTCCTCGTCTGAAGGGAAAGTGCACTGGAATGATCGATTCACCCTGTATGCGCTTCTGGACTTTCACCTCATCTATTGTGCCTTACCCAACAACGTAGCACGTTAAGGAACACATCTGATTTATGCATATCTATCTACACTACTTTCCAGAACTCTCCCAGCGCCAACAGCGCGGGCGCGCCAATGGTCATATTTGGGATGGATGAACTGGTTGGGAAAGCCACGATTGCTGTTGGTGACCTGCTAGAGTACGGGAAGAAAGGAAGCGGTTCGTGGATGTTTCTCGTCTTTGCATGCTCAAGTGACGTATCGAGGTTGCCAGAGTTTACGTTGCCAACGAGAAGGCCGCGCGGAGTGTCGCTAAGGGCAAATTTAATCCTCAGGGCTCAACACCTGGGCGGCGACCGTGTATTAACATCAAATCATCTCCACAAAGACATTAAAGTGGGTGAATTGTTTGATTCCGGTCTCACAATGGTGGGCAGAAGTCGTTCAGCCGATCTTGACCGTCTCTCCCCACCTAGATTGACATCCTTGAACCAAACCCTAGCGGTGGTCCGCACCGCGGGTCGGTCACACTCCGACCAGCAATGCATCTTGACCGGTCAGTTTCTCTCAACACGCTCGCGAATGATTGCTATGCCTCTTTTCATCGTTCTGGTGACACAAGGAGCCTCCAACTAGCCCTTCAGCACTATTCCGCCGCATTGGACCTGTGTCCGCTTGATCATCCCGAGCGCTCTACATCCCTTAACAATCTCGCCGCTGCACAGCTCGCTCGTTTTAGGCATCAAGGCAACACGTCGGACCTCGAGCTGGCCTTCGAGAATGCTCGCGTCTCTCTCGAATCGTGCCCACCTCATCACCCTGATCATTCTGCATGTCTCAACAACTTTGCCATTATTCTACATGCTCGATTCCAGCAGCTGGGCCATATATCTGATCTCAAGCAGGCCCTTGAGCACAATGCCAGCGCACTGAAATATCGTCCTCCCGGACATCCAGATCGCTGGATGACGCTCAACTCTATTGGCAGTGTGTATCTGACGTACTTCCAACAGAGAAAGGTCCCGCGTGACCTGGAAATGGCACTCCGCCACTATCGTGCTGCGTTGGACGCCGTACCCTCGGGCATGGTGGCCCTCTGGATTCTGCGAAGCAACTTGGCTAATGCCCTGTGCGCCCGCTTCCAGCGCCAGGGTGAGCCGGGAGACCTCGAGCGGGCGATTGTGCACTATCGTGCCGCGCTACACACGCGGCCATTCACAGACCCTGGGCGCTCCAAGTCGTTCAATAATCTCGGCGCTGCTCTCTACATTCGGTCTGAACACTTTGGGAACAAGACAGATCTGGACATGGCCATTCAAAACCATCGATCCGCCCTCAGATTGTGCCCGCCAGGACATCCCGACCGCCCTATATCGCTCTACAACCTCGCTGGCGCGCTGTCGGCGCGCTTTCGTAGGAGGGGTCAAACTGCCGATTTGAAAATGGCGCTGAAGCTCCACCGCGCTGCTCTGTGGCTCCGTCCCGCTGGACATCCTCATCGTTCGCTTTCGCTGAAAGGTTTCGTCCACACCCTCCGTCTCTGCTTCCAACAACGAGATCAGCTTCCAGACCTGAAACTCATTATCGCACCCGATGACATAACCCTGCAATTGGAAGACACCCCAGCACCTGCATCAGTCAAAAGCACTACCACGGGTCTAATCGTTTCTTATCAGAAGCCAGACTCCCCGACAGACTTAGAGCTTGCTCATGAATATTTTCGTACTGCTCAAAATTCTCGCAAGCCAGACGACCCTGATCGGTTTGCACTGCTTGATGGTCTCGCCAACATTCTTCGCGCCCGCTCTGAGCACCAAGCATCAGAGTCCAAACACCAATCCATAGATGAGCCTCGCCCTACCGTGCCAGACAACTTCGACTCTTTGATTTCCAGCGAAGTTATCAATGACCTCGTCGCTCTTTACGAAAAGCATGATACCATCACTCACATCATTCAGGCCATTGAGCATTTTCGGGGGCCACCTCTACAACTATCAGATCACCACCGCAGTCCCAGCTTGCTTGGGAATCTCGCCAACGCCTTCCGCATCCGATTCGACCATAACAGAGATGCTCGTGACTTGGATACGTCCATCGAGTATCATCGCGCCGCGTTGGACCTACATCCCGAAGGGAGCACTCTGCGCGTAGAATCACTGAACTCTTTAGCCATTGCCCTGATGGCTCGCTATCGTCTTCTGAGGGACCCGGGAGATTTACGTCGTGCTGTTAATTACCATTTCGATGCCCTAGAGCTGTGTCTGCAAGGACACCGCGACTACTCGATAACACTCCTCAACCTTGCTATCGCCATACAGAAACCCTTCCCCGCTCGCCTTTCCCACGGAGTTGAACTGACCGATCTGAGGCTAGAGATCGAGGAGAATCTAGAGGCTATGACGGATGGGAACGCCCCCGGACATCCGCTGCTGGCAGGTGTTCATGGGCATCTTGCTACGGAGTATCTAGAGAGATATGATGATTCAAAGCAGAACATGGATCTGCATGAAGGGTTCCGGCACCGGGAGCTAGCGTCGACCTACGTGAGTGGTGGCCCCTGGCAACAATTTAGGGCATCGTATCGATGGATTCGCGATGCCGAAATGTTTGGCCACTCATCCGCCATGCGCGCCTACCGAACCTCGTTGAGTCTTCTTGACCGGCACATCACTGTAGCGTTTTCGGTCGTATCTGGTCATCGGGCGGTCAAGCAAGTTCCTGCTGCTCTCGTTGCAGACGCCGCCTCGTGTGCAGTCCGTCAAAAGCTGGTTTCTGCTGCTGTAGAGTTATTGGAGCAGGGGAGAACGGTCCTCTGGACGCAGCTCGCGCGGTTCCGCACTCCTCTCGAAGACCTGCGCAATGTCCCCGAGGTCGGGAGGAGGCTGGCACACGAGTTTGAGAGACTGAGCGAAGAGCTGCTTGCATTACAACACTCGACCGGGCGGCCTGAGGCGGAGGCACGGCGATATGGGCAGCTGTCGATGGAGTGGGATTCTTTGATTGCACAGATCCGAAAGGCAGAGGGTTTTTCCCATTTCCTGATGCCCCCGTCGTTCTCTCACCTCCAAGAGGCTGCTCGCGACGGGCCAGTCATCGTTGTCAACAGCAGCCAATACTCATGCGACGCCATCATTGTGCTGCACATAGGCCCGCCCATCCATGTTCCTCTTGTACAGATCACCCTCGACGACGTCGCACAGCTATCATCAAAGTTTGCGGATATCTTGAAATGCCCTGCCGCCCCCGGAGAAGACAAGAGGAGGGAAAGTCAGCTGATTGCTTTGTTGCGAGAACTGTGGGATCTTGTGGTCCGCCCTATCGTCGAGGAGTTGTCGAGTATAGAACAGGTCCCAAAAGGATCGAGGATCTGGTGGTGTCCTACGTCAAAGTTCACATCGTTGCCCTTGCATGCTGCAGGGTGCTACCGCAAGGGGGAGCCCAACCTATCCAACGTCTTCGTGTCATCGTACACCCCGACATTATCTGCTCTCATAAGGAGCAGACGGTCTAGGGCAGCTATGCCAACAAGATTTGCTGCCATCGGTCAAGCCAACCCGGGTGGTGACCTCGAAAGGGAGCTCAAGTCTGTCGACAAGGAAATCAGGCTAGTACAAATGGCGGTACCAGAATGGGTCCCATTCACGTGTCTGTCTGGCCGTTTGGCAACGGATATAGCTGCTCTGGACGCACTGCGGGCACACAGCTGGGTCCACCTGGCGTGTCACGGCAGACAAGACACGGTGCAACCATTTGCGTCGTCCTTTGCGATGAGCAACAGACCACTTTCGCTGCTTGACATTATCAATGCTGATGTGGGCTGTCCAGAGTTTGCGTTTCTATCGGCGTGCCATACCGCTGTCGGTGACTATACGATACCCGATGAGGTGATCCATCTGGCGGCAGGGATGCAATTCGCGGGTTTCAAAAGTGTGATAGGGACGATGTGGGCGGTTGATGACCAAGTTGCGCACCACATGGTAACCAACTTTTACGATTCTCTATTCAGCGAGGGGATGGATTGGACCAAGGCTGCAGGGGCGCTGAACAAGGCGGCAAGGAACGTAGACAAAAAACAAGTGCCGTTGGAGCAGCGGATAGTGTTTATTCATATTGGAGCGTAGATTAATTGCGGTGAGTGAGTGATTGTCCCTGTCTGTAATTATAGCACACAGAACTAGCTTCCATCCGTAAGCCGTCGTAGCACAATGGTAGTGCGTTGCCTTCCTAAGCACCTGCTAGGCAAAGGTTGCGGGTTCGATCCCCGTCGTCGGTAGTTGGAAACTACAAGCGGTTAATTTTTATTTTTTATTCCTTGGGAATGCCGAAGCAATTTTTGGAACGTTTTCACTTCTTTGCATGCGACGATGTTCTACTCCACCGTGAGCCTTGCCGTCCGTCTCCTTGGCTCATTGCTTTGACTGTGGGTTATCGACGGCGTTGACACTCGCAGTGTGAGACTATCTCCAACGTAGCGCTGAGATTATAGCTATGTAGCTTGTTGATTGGGATCACTATATACACCGCCCTTGTGGATTTGATGGTACATAAACCGCAGTCGCTTGTTCTTTATTTTACTCCACTTCGACTTATCGCACGTCCGCCTTGAGGCTGCCCGGAACGATCGCTACAGTCTTTAGACGCCCCGATCGTGATATCGATAGCGCGATTTGAAAAGCCAGCTCGCAGCGCTTCCTATAAAACCTAAAACATAACCAATCTTCATCTTTAGACTCCAAACATGTCCGCAGACATCGCCCCACTCATAAAGCTTGACCTCCCTTCCGTCGAAGAGTTCAGAAAGAGAAAGGTCGCTCTTATTTCTGGTGCGTATTTATCTCACTGCGGAATGTGACATCCATCGTCTCTCGCCTTTGGCTTGGGTAATCGATGAACGCGTACTTTACCAATACCCTGGCCGATGACAGTCGATGTCCACCTTTATCTACGTTGATTGCGGCACGATGGCGAGGTACTGACTGTGACTTTTTCCCCGCGTCTTATAGGTATTACTGGTCAGGATGGATCATACTTGTGAGTGCTATATCCCCTGCTCTTCTTTCAGGCTTGTCACGCGACCGGCTTCCGCGTTTCGAGTTAGTCTGGGATGCTTATGCATCGAGGTCGATTAGACACCGCCCTCATGAGCGCGCATGCTACGATAATCGGATAACGAAGCGTTGAATTTGTGTTTGCTCGCATATACCACGACTTTCCGTCTCTTTTGATATTCTCGTCGCGCATATACTCACGTCCTGACCGCTACCCAGGACAGAGCTCCTTCTTTCCAAAGGATACCAAGTTCACGGGATCATCCGTCGCTCGTCTAGTTTCAACACTGGACGGTTGCACCATTTGTACGAGGACCAACATGAGCGTGCGTTTTCCTTCCTCTCCCAGTGTCATCCCTGCCCCAACACCGTTGACTCGCAGGCCCAAACAAATTCCACCTCCACTACGGCGATCTCTCCGACAGCACCAACCTCGTCTACATCCTCGCTCAGGTCCAGCCTTCAGAGATCTACAACCTTGGCGCCCAATCCCACGTCAAAGTCTCTTTCGAGATGGCCGAATACACCGCCGACGTCGATGGTCTCGGCACCCTCCGTCTCCTCGACGCTATCCGCACGGTCGGGCTTACAGCACACACCCGCTTCTACCAAGCCTCGACCTCCGAGCTGTACGGCAAGGTCGTCGAAACGCCGCAGAGCGAGACCACGCCATTCTACCCTCGCAGCCCTTACGGCGCGGCGAAGCTGTACGCCTACTGGATCACGGTAAACTACAGAGAGGCTTACGGGATGTATGCGTGCAACGGGATCTTGTTCAACCACGAGAGCCCGCGCCGAGGGCGGACGTTCGTCACCAGGAAGATCACCAGGGCTGTGGCGGATATCAAGTTGGGCAAACAGAGCTGCTTGTACTTGGGAAACATTGACGCGCGGAGAGATTGGGGTCACGGTGCGTCCACCCTGATACTCCTGTCCCATCTTCATGTTCTGAGGTGCGTTTTCCGGGGGTGCATATAGCCAAGGACTATGTCGAGGGTATGTGGCGCATGCTGCAGCAGCCAGAGCCGGAAGATTTCGTCCTCGCAACTGGAGAGACGCACCCCGTGCGCGAGTTCGTCGACAAGGCGTTCGGCGTCGTGGGGATAACGATCAAGTACGTTGCGCGCTCTTCGGCATACACCTAGGAATAACAGCGTAACCTCCCAGATGGCGTGGTAACGGCACCGACGAAGAGGGCGTCGACGCACAGACGGGTCGTGTGGTCGTCAAGATCGACCCGATGTACTTCAGGCCTGCCGAGGTCGAGTGCGTGTCTTCCTCCTCTCGTCCTATTCGCGAACACTTACAATGACCTCCCCAGCCTCCTCCTCGGTAATCCCGCAAAAGCGGAGCGCCTCCTCGGGTGGAAGCGCAAAGTCGACTTTGACTCTCTCGTAAAGGAGATGGTGGAGTCAGACTTGAAGGCAGTACAGAGCCTTGTCGAAGACCAGAACTAGGATGCAAGAAGCGATCACAAAAATAGGATAACGACTCGATGCTGACATCGCATGTACTACGACCGCAACCTCGATGAACTCTTTTACTTGGATCGAAATCCTAGCTGTAATGTTGAATGTGATACGTCTGCGTTTTGGGTGCCATCATGAACCGAGAGATGTGAGACGGGTCTGTATGTTCTCGAAGCAACTCATCCTCTCTCTCACGCAGCAAACAAATCGTTTCTGATTCCCCTCATATTTTTAGCTGGGTCCAGGTTTGAATTATTGTATTATGGTAAAGATGAAAGGGCCCCTCGTGACTGTTCGCGCTGACGCAGTGACCTGACCTGACGCCGGTTCACGCTTCGTTCCCAGAGCCTTGAGCATTCGCTATCTCATACATTTTCCGCACGCATCCGTGCGAGAGCCCGCTGGGAAACCGATTTACTGCGGATATTTGGGCTAGCCGCGGAGTCCCGTTATCACATCAATGTCACGAGCGATGAGCCCAAAGTTTCTCTCCTTAGTCATTGGAGTCAAGCGCCCCACCCATTCGTATTTAAACTACTCTACGGCAGCACGACTCACGATTCCCCTTCGAGTTTTCTCAGTTCGCCGTGCCATGTCTGTACCCACACTCCCCCTGAACGACGGCAACCATGTCCCCTGGATCGCCTTTGGCACCGGAACGGCGCTGTATCAACAGGACGCCACACAAGCCGTGCGCCTCGCAATCGATAACGGGTTCACCCACCTCGATGGCGCACAAATGTACAACAATGAGGAGACGCTGGGCGCTGGGGTCGTCGCCTCGGGGAAATCGCGCTCTGAGTTGTTCATCACGACAAAGCTCGCAAAGTTGCAGACTGGGGAGACCGCGAAGACCGCACTGCAAACATCCCTGAAGAAGCTGGGCATCGCACAGGTCGACTTGTACTTGATCCATGTACCTCGTCAACACGAGGGACAGCTGAAGCAGGTGTGGAAGGACATGGAGGCATGTAAGAAAGAGGGGCTTACCAAATCCATTGGTGTCTCAAACTTTCAACCGGCTCACCTGGAAGAAATCTTGGAAGTCGCTACTATTCCTCCCGCCGTTAATCAGGTGGGTAAATATTGCTCCGTGCGAGCGTGGAATGGTCTAACACCCCGCCTACAGATCGAGCTCCACCCGTACGTTTGGAAGTCCCTTCAGCCTGTCATTGCCGTGCACAAGGAGCACGGCATAATCACTTCCTCCTTCGGTGGTCTCTCGCCCCTCTTCCGAGCAAAAGGAGGTCCTCTGGATCCCGTTATAGAGCAAATACGGGCGAGGTTAGAAGCTACCCGTGGAAAGCCCGTATCTGACGGACAGGTATTGAACAAATGGATGCAGCAGAAGGGTATTCTTGTTGTTACGTGAGCCCACATCACGACTTGATGAATGTGTCGCAGCTGAAATCACCCCAGCACATCGTCAAAGGCAGAGCGTATCAGGGAATACGTTGACACGTCCAATGTCCCCGAGCTGACCTCCGAAGAGGTGGACTTGATCGAAGAGACCGGTTCGCAGGTTCACAAGAAGTTCTTTGTAAGCTTCTTCGCCTAGGCGCGCTGCGATAAAGCTGACTCTGCCTTCCCAGTGATTTTGTTGTCCGGCCAGCGGAACAGGAGTCGGCGAAGTCGTTACTGTAGAAGTAAACGGAACCGGGCAGTGTATCGTTTATAGGTTACTTCGGACTGCTGGGCGACTTCGAACCGTGTTTCTTCAACATTGACGACTGAGATCATTCCAGGCTGCGTCTCCTTCAGCGAGAGTCACCAGAGTTTCCAGCGTGACCATGTCTGAGGCACTGAGACCTATATCTTCCTGCAGTCGCTGGTAGTGTTGTAAAAGCGCGTGGGTCCTCTTGGTATCTCTCTGCAGTGCATCCATTGTTCGATCGCAATCGCGCCCGATCAGCTCCCTTGTCAACTCGATCGACGGACGAAGCGTATCGCACCACTAGCCTATCAGGTCGCCTGGAACGAAAGCCGTGGTAATAATTCCAAGCTTGGGAGACGTGACTCCACACAACTTCAAGTTCGTAGACAAATCCTCGGTGGTTACTTGGATGACTGACGTAGTTGGATAAGAACTTGAGCAACATCTTAAACCGCCTAAAATGACCCTCATCGCTCAGGTACTTGTGCCAGCTATTGCTCTGGACGAGGGCATGAATGATGTGAACATGTGCGTAGCTTTGAGCGAGGTAGACCGAAGTGTTGGGTGACAGGAGTCCTGTTAGTTCTGAGGGCGACGGCGGTGCGATGGAAGAACCCGCCAGGCGAAGTGAACTCAGAGTCGGTAGAAAGTCGGATGTGAACAGCGCCTTCAGGCTGGCTGCACAAAGCGCTTCTGACCGACTCCGCTACACATAGTGTAGCGTGACGGAATACCAGAGAAGTTGAACCCATAGCCCAGATAATGGTTTCCACAACATACATGTTCTTCACCTGGCTGGTGATCTCCGGCAACTGCTTCTCGGTAATCCCGTAAAAGCAGAGGGCCCCCTCGGGTGGAAGCGCAAAGTTGAATTTGACTCCCTCGTGAAGGAGATGGTGGAGTCAGACTTGAAGGCAGTGCAGAGCCTTGAGCGCTTGAGCATTCGCTATCTCATACATTTTCCGCACGCATCCGTGCGAGTCCCGCTATCACATCAATGTCACAAGCGATGAGCCCAAAGTTTCTTCCTTAGTCATTGCAGACAAGCGCCTCACTCATTCGTATTTAAACCATTTTACAGCAGCACGATTCACGATTTCCC